TAGGTCAAGAAGCAGTTGTCCTAACAGAATAAGGGGACAGTGCATTGCTTAGAATCAGAAAAGGTGTATGTCAGGATTGTATCCTTTCTCCATACTTATTCAATCTCTATGCTGAGAAATATGATTAGCTGTACTATATGAAAAAGAATGTGGTGTCAGGATTGGAGGAAGACTATTCAACAACCTGTGTCATGTAGAAGACATAATCTTGCTTGCAGAAAGAAAAGAAGACTTGAAGCATTTACCAAAGAACTATAGTCTTCAACATGGTTTACATTTCGGTATTTAAAAAAAAAAGAACACACCCCAAAATCCTTACCACTGGATCAATGGATAACATCACAATAGATGGAGAAAAGATTGAAGTTGCCAATGATTTCATTTTACTGGGACCAAAAGTCAAAATAGTAGCAGCAGTCAAGAAATCAAAACACACATTGCATTGGGAAAATCTCTGTCAACAACCTCTCTATAAAGTGCTAAAGAGCAAGGATCACTTTACGTCATAGTCGGCCTGATGCCACCTAATAGTAACAACTGTAAATAATGCCTGCTACTATGAGTCAGTTGGAAATGACAGGTGACAATGAAGAGATCATCTCAATTACACATGTAAAAATAAAAGATTACATCAGTAGTTCCTGAGCTCCTTCAGGCAAGAAATAAAGATAAAAATGGTACCTAAGTATCTGAATTTATTATGAGGATGTCAAGTGGTTATGACAATGAAAAATTTACTATTTTAAAGCACCTAGAATACTACCTGACATATAATAAGCAAAAATAAGTATTTATTAAATTAGTAAAGTTATTACTTATTAATTTATATGGATAATTTTAAAACCATCAGGCTGTATGTTCATCCTCAAACAAAAAGTTTCTTTTTTTATTATTAATTTCAATGAAAATTTACAGAGACTCAGGATTTCCATTCATTCATTGTTGCACTTTTCTCCCTGCCCACTCCTCCCCCAGTATACTTTTCTCTTTGAAAAGTAAAGGAAAAATTCTTCTATTGTTTTACAATCCATCCCCCCAGGTCCACTCCACTATGTAGCCTTCATCTGGACTCCTGTCATGACAAAAATACCTAATCATATATCCCTTTTAAACAGTTTCTCCCTCATCTGTTTCAATGCACTATACATTATTTATCCCAATTTCTCAGTCTCCCCCCCCAACCACAAGGTCAGTCTTGTTTTACAACAGTGGCACCATTCAGTATTTGTCCAAACAAAAACTTTCTTGATCAAAACACGATAATGGCCTAAGCAGAGAAATAAATTGTACTTCTGGTTTTTATCCTTTCACAGAAATAAATCTTTGTTAATAAACAAGATTTTCATTTGCTGAGATATCCAATATATGGGATTAAGAATTATTACTAGGAGCCACTATAAGGCAATCTGTTCATAGCAAGAAAATGGAAACTGCCCAAATGTTCATCAGTAAATGAAGGATTAAGAAATTGTGCTACATCCACAAGATGGTATACTAAGCAGCACTAAGGAATAAGATTTTGCAAAACACTACATGAGAGTCTAAAAGGCATTATGATGTGTGAATTCAGTCTCATAAGGACAAATATTGCATAAGACCATTATTATAAAAATAAGTAACTTGAAAGAAGTGTCTAAATGTTCAAAAGGGAAAAGTGAATGGGAGAAGAAGGTGGAAAATGGGGAAGAGTGGAAATCACTAGAATAACAGGGTTTAGTGGGTGGATAGGCGGAGGGGTGAAGGAATAGGAAAGGTTCAATGGGGACTCAGGGTGCTAAGAGGCATAGATCAATAGGAATACATTTTATAAAATACAATGTAAATGAAAGACTGTATAAAACACTATATACATGAATGAAATTCAATATATCTGAATTACTGTATGCAAATCAATTAAAAAAGATTTGCAGCCTTGTAATACTACTCAAAGTATCTACAGATACAATGCAATACCGATATAGATACCATCACTGTTCTTCAATGAGATGGAAAAAGTAATCACTAATTTTACACCGAAAGTAGAGAGACCATGAATAAGTAAAGCATTATGGACAAAGAAAAACAAAGTGGAGGTTTTACACCTCCTCATCTCCAAATCTCCTACACAACCACTGTAATTTAAAGAACCTGGTACTAGTACAATGATCAATGGAACAGAAATGAGAACTCAGAAATAAGTCCATTCATCTATGGACAGCTGATCTTTGACAAAGAGATGAAAAGCCATCGAGGGGGAGAAAGATAGTCTCTTTAAAAAATGGTGCTGGCAAAACTGAATAGCTGTTTGCAGAAAATTAAAACAAGATCCATACCTCACCCCACATACAAAAACTAACTCTAGATGGATCAAAGACCTAGATATGAAACCTAAAACTTTACAAATACTTAAAGAAAACAATTAGGCTAAATGCAGGAGTCCTAATCTTTGGCATAAATAGACTATTAAAAAACCTTGAAAATGCACAATCAGCAGAGGACAAACCAGAAGATTTGAGACTAAACATGAAAACTTTATGTGCATCAAAAAATTTCTCAAAAGTGTAAAAAGAGAACCCACCAACTGGGGAAAAAATATTTCACAATGACACATCTGACAAGAGGCTCATCTCTAAAATTTATAGAAAACTCTTAACACCTCAACAAGAAAAAGACAAACAACCCAACTACAACATGGGCAGAGCAAATGAAAAGACACTTTGATGTTCTTTCAAAGTAGACAAACACATGAAGAAATGCTTAAGATCACTAGCTATTAGAGATGCAAATCAAAACAGCAATGAGGCATTATATCGCCCCAGCAATAATAGCAGAGTTCATTAAAAGCAAACACCAAATGCTGGTGATGGTTTAGAAAGAATGAAACTTTCATACACTGCTGTTGGGAATGTTATAGTGCATCCACTATAGAAAGCAGTCTGGCACTTCCTTAGAAAGTTGGAAGTAGAAATATCATTTGATTCAGCCATCTCACTACTAGGAATATATATCCTAAAGAAGTAAGGGTTGCCACATGAACAGATATGTGCAGACTCATTATTTACAGTACAACTTACAATATCAAAGAAATGGAAACAACCCAAGTGTTTACCAACAGATGCAGGGACAAAGAAACTATGGTGCATTCACACAACAGAGTATTCTACAACACTAAAAAACAAAGAATTCACAAAACATTGCATAGCATGAATGCACTTATAGGACATTATGCTAAGTGAAGTAAGTCAGTCACAAAAGATTATTATGGTATTATGTTGTTATATACTGTCAAGCTGTGACTGACTCATAGTGGATTCTCTAGTGGGTTTTCAGAGGCAGGAAATCACATGGGAGGCTGCTTGTCTTTCTGTGTGATTATGGTATAAAGACTATTTATAAAAAGCTAAAGAAAGTTCACACACAACTAGAGTAATCCTTGGATGGATATCAGGGATGGCAAGGGTAGGAGACTGAAGTAAAAATTAATAAATAGATTAGTTGAGTAAATCGAAAAGCTATAATAATAAGGGGTTGATCAGACCTTGTAAATACTATTGCTGTTATGTGCCACAGAGCTGGAACTGACTCACAGCTGACCCTCCCCAGGAGTTTCAGCAGGCTGTAAATCACAGGGTTGAAAACTGCTCATCTTGAAACCCACAGCATCCCTTTTCAGCAGGAAGTAGCTAAGAGAATACGCCATCCCCTTTTCCTTATGAATCAGGGTGAAGTCTCTCTCAGGGAGGAGTGATAGGGAATGGCAAAGGACACACTGACAGAGGAGGTTAACCAGAACTGACTTTGACAAGCACTGTGGCAATTGGACAATTAAAACAGACATGGGGGGGGGGAGAAGAACGAACTGGGGAGGAGGGTAGAGAGAATGGTGCAGCAATGAAGGAATGAAAACCCAAAATCCCTGTAAATGTTCATTAAAACTAATAAAATTTAATAATAATAATAATAAAAACTGCTCATCTTTCTTCTGTAGAGCAGCTGGTGGATTTGAATTATCTAATTATATTCATTAAATATATGAATCAATTGTAATTAATGGGAGTTGGTATGTCAGAATCAGTGAGACAGGCTCAGTAAGGACAGGGCAGGCTTCAGAGCTGCTTTACGTAGGGTCTCTATGAGTCGCAGGCAACTCAACAGCACATACCACCACCACCACCACCAACACCACATTACAAAATGTGTATTTAAAAAGTGTATGAATGATGAAATGAAATAGTGATTATGAGAATGATTAGATAAAACACAATGTGAATAAATACTGTGAAACCAAATGTATAAGAATTTTGTAAGCAAATAAAAAACCCACAAAATAAAATCACAAAAGATAAGATTTATGAACTTTCATTCAAATAAATGTACAAGTAAATAAATACGGGGGGGGGGGAAGCACAAGGAAAAAAAACCCAAAGATTCGCAGCCTTGAAAACTCAATGGAGGGGTACCATGCGTCAGAACTGACCTGACAACAATAGGTTTTAGGTTTAGTGTCTATTAATTTATAAAGAGCTTGAGTGGTGCAGTGGTTGAAGAGTTCAGCTGTTAAATGAGAAGTCAGCGGTTCCAACCCACGAACCTCTCTGTGAAAGAAAGCTCTCAAAGTCCATTTCCTTCAAGATCTGTAGTATTGGAAACTCTATGGAGTAGTTTTGCTCCATCTTACAGGGTCACTATGAATCGGAATGACCTCAGTTCCTGTTTGGTCTCAGAACAGACGGTGAACTCCGTTTAAGAGTATTTGTGCACTCACTAGCTCAATAATCCTAAGGCTCTTGAGTTGACTTACCTGCTGTAGTAGTGGTTCTTATCTATTTAGGGGCACTATGATCAAATCTGAATCTGATGAAAGTATTAAATCTGATCTCAAGAAAACTCCACATAACTCTGAAATTCTGCAAACAATCCTACAACATTCATAGATTTCCGGAAGCCTTTCCAGGGAACCCAGTTAAAGACAACCAAATTAAAGAAGTAATTGATTATGCCTACGTTAAAAATCAACTTACCTACCCCCCATTGAACAATATTTTGCATCTTGGGCTTAGCATAGAAGTACTTTTCCTAAAAAGGGGAGAAGAAAATGACTGAGTAAAGTAGAACTGCTAATTGGTAATGTAACAAAATAAATATGTAAGTATTTACTGAATAATTTTTTTATTAACAAAAGGAGGTATTTTCCATTTTTTAAAAAATTTTCCTTCCTAGCAAACTGCTCAGCAGAAAGGCTTACTGTATTACCACAGGAAGCAAAGATTCGAGACAAAGGTATTTCAACAAGCTCGTCTTAACTGCCTTATTAAAACTGAAGAAAACAGGCTAAAGATAACTAATGTGGCAATCTTTTCCCTATGTAACTGAATCTGCCATTCATATTAAGCCTATTCCTTGATTTTTCAAAAAGATGATTACTTTGGAGCCTGTATCAGAGCACTATGCATTGGAAGCAAGCAGCATCAGTGTAAAAGAGGCAAAGCAGCCTTTATCCACATTTGGAGAGATGTTTATATTAATTCTGAAGCAAAAGAAGTGTCAACATTCTTTAAACAACAGGCTTGCACAAGAACAACAAAGATCTAAAAAGAAACAAGGGACTAGCTAGAAGGGATTCACCTTCAGGAAACCTATAGTAAGGACTGGAGACACATAAATATCAGATGTCCGAACTATTTGCTACTTCGAAAAAAGATTCATTTTAATAGCTTTCATTAATAAACCTGGATTGGGGAGATAGGTCTAAAGAACATAAAGAAAATGGAATACACCTTCATAAAAATCTATTATTGATTTTTCCTGCCTCTTGGAAAGAAAAAGAAAAAAATCTTACAAATCAATACTGACTTCTCTTGCTCATATAAATTTTACTATCAGGAAAAATTAGTTCTTGAAGAAAGAGGCTAGAAATTGTTGGTCTGAAAAATAAGTGAGGAATTAAGAGTTCTATTCAAAAAGACTTCATTCTGTGGGCAAATAAAACCACTCACAAGCAAGCTTCTTTATTAGAAGGGCAAACAAACATGTTGAAAACTACTTTACTGTCTAGAGAAGAAACATTTTAGTGCACTGAGAATTATGTACAGAAGTTAAAAGAAAATCAAAACCAAAAGGCAACCTTAGGTTGAGAGATAAAAAAAACAAAGTACATCTCCAATTTAAAAAAAAGTTGGAAATAGCAATAGTCAGAACTATATAATTTAAAAATACTTTCACAAATCTTCAGAATTTATCTAATCAAGTATCAAGAATTATCCAATAGTTTAAAAATATTCTTGATGTTGTGCACATTTTCAAACACACAATCTAGAACAAGACAATAAAGTCAAAACACTTCACAACACATACATGTACAAAGTATTTTTTAATGCAATAACACTAAATGTAGCTCTTCGGCCTTTAGAGGTAAATGGTTCAGTATGCAAATATGTCATTCCATCCACATTTTGTATTTACCTCCTGACATTCAAAATGCTCTATAATCATGTTGTTGTAGTAGTTGGGTGCCATTGAGTCACACATGACTCATAGCAACCATAAGAACAACAGATATGAACCCTATTCAGAAAGAAAGAAAAAAATCCTACAAATCAATACCCACTTCTCTCTTGCTAATTCAAATTTTACTAAAAGTTAAATTAGTCTGTATTTGTTTAAAATTATACTAATGGTAGATTCATTGGGAGAAGAAAAGCTCCTTGATTCTGTCCAATATAAAAGTCTGTATTGCATCCTTTTACTCTGACTAGAGTTACAGCTCCACTGTCTCTCTTGTAGACAAAATAGCTATCACTCTTCTCTCTCAAGGTACCACATGCTGCCCAGTGAAAGGGGAATTCTCTCTGCAGCTATGGCATCAGCTGCCACCAGGAGCAAGGGCATTTCTGTCCTCCCCGATTCCCAGAGATGATGCAGATTAACATTTGGGGTACTCTAAGTTGGGCTCCTTTACTGTTCCTTTTCCAAAAAGTATGCCATCAACAGAGACATCTCACTATTGATTCTAAAGAGAAATGTGCTGATTCCATTTTCAGAACAATTGTACCTGACACCATGTTATATATGGACTGCAAAACTGTCGTAGCTGTGAAATGTTTTCTTCAAGTCGAGTCCTTGGCTCTTCTACATATTTAGATTGAGCTTCTGGAACTGAATAGAGTGAAAGCTGCATACATAAAAAAAAAAAATTAAAACTGTATACATTTATAAAATAACAATAAACTATGAGGTAGATTGATTCAGTGACTGGGGTAATCGGGATAGGTGTGTCAGAGGCAATGCGATTGGCACAGGATAGAGCAGGGTTTAGGGCTGTTGTACTTAGCGTCGCTATGAGTCACAAATGACTCAATGGCACATAACAACAACAACATCAAATTTGTAGGCATAAGCTTTCTAATGTGTGAATTACAATAATCCTGAGGATTTTAAAAGGTGCTATGGTTATAGTATTTAGCTGTTAAACAAAAGGTCAATGGTTTGAATCTACCATCAGCTCTGCAGGGGAAGGATAAGAAAGTCTGCTCCCATGAAGATTTGCAGCCTTGGAAACTAGATGGGAAATTCTACTCTGTCCTAGGGAAGTGCTATAATTCAAAACCAACCTGATGGCCGCTGAGTTTAGGAATAGTTACATGCACCCTAAACCTTACCTCAAATAATCTTTACACCTTACTTATTTCCTTTTTGTAGATCAACAGAATCAAGACTCAGTCCCACAGTATCAACTAAGGAATCTCCCCTTAAGCAATTTTATACTGGTATTTGGCACTCCATTTTAGTTTAGTAAAAGGATTTTATTACTTTCAAGGGTAGATGGGAAGTGGGCTTAAAAAGAAAAAAGCTTGAAAGCAACAGAAAAGTAGGTTATTAGATCAAATGATCAGTCTGGTGCAGAATAAATTTGTTTACCACTCAGGGGAAAAACTTTTCACACACTGGTGGCAACCTTCTTCATCCTTCAGAAATGCCTCTAGTCTATGGCCTGAGAAGAGGGTAAAAGTCAAAAGCTAAGCTACCTAACTTAACATGGATATAACTAAATAAACTTGCCCATGATAATCTGCCCAATAACATTTTCTTCAAAGACAACAGAAACTCATAATAAAAAAAAATTTAGGAGAGGGCATATTAAAAAAGGGAATGCAAACAATGAAGAGAAGATTTCTTTAATACTTAGGGATTCAATATAACCCAGATGTTTTACTAGCTTCATAAGCAGTCTAGAATCTGGCAGACCACTGGCAAGAGTTCATGTGCTTATAACTGACAGACATAACAGATTCTCTACTAAAAATGTATGAAATATTCTTTAATTATGTCCTTAGCTAAGTACTATTAAAGTTTATTTGTTGAAGGAACTATAGGTTAGTGGTTTTACACACAACTACTGAGAACTATTTCCTTATTCTCAGCATTCACATCTTCCTGATCCATGTTATGTAAGAACTGTATGACAACAGCATGTTACCTCATCAACCTTGACGGAATCTTCTTCAGGCGTGTCCTTCTTTGATGAAGCATAGACTCTCCAGGTGAGCAGACTTAGGCTGGCCGGGCCCACAGATCTCTGAATTACCTGAAACAGCAATTATAAGTTTTTACTCAATGCTACAAAAGGAATGTTCATAATGTGAGTATATGACCAGCTGTAGTCACTCCTGGAGCTCTGGTGGGGTCTGTAGAGAGGTGCGCTGCTAGTTCAAAGGCCCCACCATGCCGGTGGGTTGAATCCACTTAAGCCTCCACAGAAGAAATATGGGCAATCTTCTCCAATGCTATTTATAGCTTCTGAAAAACCACTGGAGGGACAACTAGGAGTCCGTTCCAATTGGACAGCAATGAGGTAGGTTGTTTGGGCATTTTTTTTCCTTTGAAGCCTTGACAGGTACATTGCACTTGATAAGAAATCAATTTACTCAAGTTTTGTTAAAGATACGGGCTTAAAAAACATATTGTTAGCAACTTAAAAATGTAAGGTCACTTTAGCTTAATTTTCAAAAGATAGCAGCTCCTAAGAATTTAACTATATAAGTAAAACATGCACAGGGGCAAATCTATGGAATGAAGTTAAAATTATCTCTCTCTCACACACATACACACATACACACATGCCATCAAGAGCCAACAGTTTCCCATTATTTCACCTAGTGGTAATTTCTCCAATCTGAATTCCCTAACGTGGTATTTTCCTGTGTCTTGCTCTCCTGAAAGAGTTACTCACATCCAGTGCTTCAACATGAAGTCAGTGATTTTAAGATATGCAGCTCCAGATCAAATTTCTTACCTGAGCTCCTGACTCACCCTATTACTTCTGAATATTTCACTTGGCTAGGACCCAAGTTCCACAAAGCTAACGTGTCCAAAAGCTCATCCTCACCCCAGACCTGCCCCTTTCTTCACTTCTTTCTCAAGAATGGTGCCACCACCCAACTAGACAAACAACTGAGAAACTGGTCATCTTTACCCCTCCTCATCCTATTGGTCACTAACAAGAGAAACCAAACCTGTTGCTCTTATTGTTGTTATGTATCATCGAGTCAGAACAGACTCATAGCTGACCTCCAGGAGGTTTTCATAGGCAATTAATCGCACAGGAGATTGCCCAGCCTTATCCCACGGAGTTGCTGGTGGATTTGAACCATGTGCCTTTGGGTTGGCAGCACAACAGCGCAACTCCTTACCACTAAGCCATCAGAGCTTCTGCTTCAATGCATAGGAACCCTGAAGGACATAACAGAACTGCCCCATATGATTTCAAAAGCTGAAACAGATAGACACATCTTTCTCCCAGAAAAAGTAAGTTTAAACCATTAATTTTTTTGTTATTATCCAAGTGCTTACCTACCATGTGAACAAAATTTTCATTAGTCATGAAGCCTCATTTATTCTATTTTTTAAAAAGAATGGTTTTAACCCACCTAATATTTCAAAGGAAAAAGATGGACAGTCTCCTCCTGTGCTATTCACAACCTTTAAAAACCTACTAGGCAAAAAACAAAAACAAAAATACCAAATTAAACCCCAACCCTACTAGCCGAGCACTCTGGATGCTTATTGACAAGCAATTGCACTATCAACCCAAAGGTATGTGGTTTAAATCTACCTGTCGCTCTGTGGGAGAAAGATGGGCAATCTTCTCTTGCATGATCAATTACCTCTGAAAAAGCTACTGAAGGATCAGCTATGGCTTGGTTCCAGCTTTATGGTAAAAAGCCAACAAAATAAAATCTGCTGGAGGGTTAGCTATAAGTGGTTCCAACAGGACAGCAATGAGTTTTTAGTCTTAAACCAGCAAATAACTCCAACAAAATTGTTGCTCCTGCATGCTATATAGTATTCCCTTGTGTGAATTTACCAAAATTTCTCAAACCATTTGGTTATAACTTTGGAGAGGCTGAAGAGAGAGTATTATACTGAGTGAACTAATAGTATCATAAGGACAAATACTGCAGAAGATAATTATTATAAAAATAGAAGGATAACTAATAAAACACGTATGAGAACTCAAGGGGCAGAAGGGGGAATGAAGAGGGAGAATAAGTAGGGGCAAAACCACAGGGCTATACAGTTTGGTGGTTGGAGGGGGGGCAAGGAACAGGGAAGGATCTGGAAGGAAAAAACAGGGTAATGGTGGGCAAGGTCCAATGGTGAGTGATTTTATGAAACATGACGAATGAGAATGATTGTATAAAACACAGTGTGGATGAAGAATTGTGTGAAACATAATGCATACCAAATTTTGTAAACAAAGCAATAAAAAATATAAAACAAAACTAAAAAAAAAAAGAATGGTTTTTCTAAACTGCAGACTCGATTCTTCATTTGAGATCCTTCAGTATTTATTACTTGTTACTTTCATGTGAATCAAACAAAGCCTGTTATTATTTGACCCCAACTCATCCTCGAATCTTATCTCTATGCCACTCTGCCTTTTTTTCCCAAAAATTGAACTCCCTAAATTTCTCCTCTGGTATTTTCCAGCTTCCTGGACTGCAAAGTCAGGTTCCTTGCTAGAATTTCTATTCTGGCTTTATCTTTCTGTAGAACTGCCTCGCCTGGAAGCAGGAGCGGCATCCACTTCTGAAATGGCTTGCCTCCGGAAACTCTATGTATGAACAGTGCTCAGGCCGCTTGTTCATAGGGTCATCATGAGTCGTCTATGACTCAACTCGACGGTATCAAACAGCAATAACAATGACAACGACAAAGAGAGCGCTACATTGGCCTAGGGGAAAGGAAGCTACGCTACCAAGCCGAAGGTGGGTGATTTTCATCTGTGGCCCTCGGCCAGGTTCAAATTGCTTTCCTGTCAAACATTCTTCTAGGTGGTATAGCACTGGTCTGTGCGTTGCTGTACAGAGGTAACTCGTGGTTGCTGTGATGCTGAAGACTGTGACAGTGATTTGCCAGTCGTGGTAATGGGTACCCATGGTGGACAGTGTTGGCTGGAGCTTCCCGACTAAATCAAGCCTGGAAGCAGGAGCAGCATCCACTTCCGAAATGGCTTGCCTCCGGAAACTCTATGTACAAACAGTGCTCAGGCCGTTTGTTCATAGGGTCGCTGAGTCATCTACGACTCGACGGCATCAAACAACAATAACAATGACGACGACCAAGAGAGAGCTACATTGGCCTAGTGGAAGGAAGCTATGCTACCAAGCCAAAGGTGGGTGATTTTCATCTGTGGCCCTCGGCCAGGTTCAAATTGTTTTCCTGTCAAACATTCTTCTAGGTGGTATAGCACTGGTCTGTGCATTGCTGTACAGAGGTAACTCGTGCTTGCAGTGATGCTGAACACTGTGACAGTGATGTGCCAATCGTGGTAATGGGTACCCATGGTGGACAGTGTTGGCTGGAGCTTCCAGACTAAATCAAGCCTGGAAGCAGGAGCGGCATCCACTTCCGAAATGGCTTGCCTCCGGAAACTCTATGTATGAACAGTGCTCAGGCCGTTCGTTCATAGGGTCACTATAAGTCGTCTACGACTCGACGGCACCAAACAACAATAACAACAGAACTGCCTCACGATAAGAATTCATTGCTTTTTTTTTTTCTTTCATAATTGGCCTATTTAAAAAGTCTACCAGATTAGAAGCTCTTTGTGGATAGGAGCCATGTCTCACTTTGTATTTATACACCCTATACTTACACCTATAGGGAGCTCTGGTGGCTTTATGGCAAGTAGCTGGGCTGCCAACCCAAAGGCACACAGTTCAAATTCACCAGCTGCTCCATGGGAGAAAGAGGCTGACTCCTCCTATGTGATTTACTGTCTCTGAAAACCCACTAGAAGGTTAGCTATGAGTTGGTTCCAATTCAACAGTACATAAAGAATATTAACATATCTATACCTAGGGAGTTTTGATGGCTTAGTGGTAAGGAGTTGCACTGCCAGTTCAAAAGTAGGCTGTATGAATCCACCAGCTGCTCTGCAGGAGAAAGATAGGCAATCTACTCCTGTGAAATTTACTGCCTCTGAAAACCCACTGGAGTCATGTCCAAATTGATGATACATAACAACAAAATACCTAGACCTATTGCTGTTGTTGTGTACTGCTGTGTTGGAACTGACCCATGGCTGAACCTCCATTGGGTTTTCAGAGGAAGTTAATAACATAGAATGAGACTGTCCATCTTTCACCCACAGAACAGTGGTGGATTCAAACCACATGTCTCTGGGATGACAGTGCAACTCCTTACCACTAGTACACCAGAGCTCCCATCCACAAGATTGGATGAACAGAGAGCAGAGAGGTGAAAAACAGTAAGTGCTTTTTAGTTTAATGGCTCCTGGGTCACTCAGAAAGTTTTATGCTTGACTATTAACTGGAAGGTTAGCCATCTGAACTCATCTAGTGGCACTGTGAGGGGAAAGTCCTGGTACTCTGATTCCATCAGGATTACAATTAAGAGAATCTTATGGAGTAGCTCTACCCTACTGCACTGGGGATCTCCATGAGGGGGAAAGTTGGAATCAACTAGACAGCAATAAGACTGGGGTGGGGTTCCCCCTTTTTTCTGAGTTGATGAGAGGATCATTAATGTAACTGTGTCTAAAAATAACTAAGAAGTTATTCATAAAGCAGTGAAAAAAGTTTTAACTGTCCATCTTGAAAGGTCTTCATTTTAAAGCAATATTGCTCCAAATTTCTTGCTTCTCAGGTAAAGGCTAGCCAGCTACTACTGAGAGTGTAACCATCACAGTTTTTAGGCACGAATAGGGTGGTATCCCGGCATAATCTTGAGAGGAACAACTCCTAGAAAACAGTAAGTATAGAAATAAGAGGGTTCATCTATTTAGAAAGCTTTGGTAGCATAGTCTGTAGAGAGATGCACTGCTAACCCAAAGGCTGTGTCTCTCTGGCAGTTTGAATCCACTCGCTGCTCTGCGGGGAAAAAAATCGCCTCTTGAAAACCTGCTAGTGGCTGAGCTATGAGTCAGTTCCAACTGGACAGCAATGTGTTTTCAATTTTCATCCATTTCATTCAAATCTTGAAAATTCAGGTTTGTTCCAATTTCAGTCCATTAGCAGCAACTGAACTGATCTGAACCAGTCCAAAGCTTTTCACAAGGAAAAGAT